AGAACTCTCGCCAATCAGCCTCACTCCAGTACCGCTTCGTTCTGCACTGTGATGCGCGCAGCAAACGACATAAATCTAACAGAGATATAATCAGAGTTAATGTTGAATTAACGCCGCATCCGCAGGGAGCGGGACGCTGAGGATCGCCGGCTTGAAGAGCACCTGCGCGCGCTGCACCGTGCGTGCGGCAGCAGCGGCAGCTGCCGCATCCCGCCCGCTAATACATCCCCTACGTGGCCACTGCCGCGCATCCATCCACCGCTATGCTGCTGCTGCTGCTGCTGCTGCTGCTGCTGCTGCCGAGTGCAGGCCTCGCAAATCGCCGATGATTACGTACGCATGGCGGTACCCTGATTTGGTTGGGGTTTCGTCCCCGGCGGGACAAGAGATGCCCGTAACCGGGCACGGTATAAAGGATATGATCACCTGTGGTAGCGTGTGCGGGTGGGATTGAGTGGGTGATGGGGCATGCCCCACGCGCCCGTGACAGCTGTTTGGTGGGATGGCCGGGACACGCGGGGACGAGCTGAGCGTACGCGCAGCACGATAAGCTAATAACAACGCCGGGGTATATAATGAGAAGGAGAGCCGTAATGAATGAAGGTATAATCACGGACAGTACATCGCTTTGTTTGATGAGAGACACTAGCAACTGCGAGCGAGGCGCTGGATTTCTATGTTCGCGAATAGATAAAAACATTTTATTTTTAATTAAAAATCTATTTTTACTCAATTTCTGCGAACAGTTACTTGCTTATATGGTGTTATATGCTTTTTATTTTGTTGTTGATGTGTTTATTTTTTATATAAAGGTCCTATTTTCTGCCACAATTGCGTGGTAATAGCAAAAAGCCTTTGGCTGGCCACCAGATTTTATACACTATTACATTTATATAGTTGATTTTAAGTCTTTACGTAATTTAAGTAAGTTAAATCAATATATGCGAGAGCTTATACCTGAGGCCTACTGTTAAACACGCTGCAATATAGCAAAGATTAACAAAGCGTATCTAAGAAACATTTGGTTAAACACTATGGTCAAAACGGACCGATTTTAACTGAACTATTTTACATTAGTCGTACGAAGTGGCAAAGATAACAACGACTAAGTACTCGGTAGGCGATCTTATATCTATCCATTGTATACCGCTATCGTATAGTATTATATGCGCTTTGATGAAGAGGGTTTTTGTGGTAGCTAACACCTGTTTTTCCCTCAACGCAGAGAGAGCGGCGTAGGATAATCGCGAACGTGCCGTACAATCACCAGCATGCGCACTGGACGCCTATAATGTGCGCCGTCAATGAACAGCGCTAACGGTACTCTGACACGCGTCCCGTTCGCATCTGCACACGCTGCATCTGCGACAAGAGGGGAATAAAAGCCATGATCTGCAACACTTGCTGCTTCCGGCGGGCGCCCAGAATGGACGCAGCCGAGTGGAAACAACACGCGACTGTGTAGCTTTGTTTACCTGCTTATCCCGTGTTCATTACATGGCAATAAGCACATTGTCACGAAGCGACATAGCCGTGCCTGTCCGCTGGCAGGTCTTCCACCGCGCTGCTGCAATCGCCAGCGTCGTCGTAGTCGGACTGGCAGAACTAGCGCTGTCACCGGCGTCGCCGTCCCGTAGAATACAAGTCTTTCGCTGTTGTTGCCATCGTCATCATCGGCACTGTCGACGCATCTACTGCCTCTGCCATCAACAGCGTTGTTGTCGTCACGCGGCTGACAGGTCTTCTGTCGTTGTCAAGGTTAAGAGAGTCGTAGCTCTCATAAATCACACGTACAGGCCCATATCAATGCGAACATATTTTACCAAACAATTGCTGCTGTTATATTTACTACACTATATCGCCGTCTTACCGGCGAAGGCATTTCACGGGGTTATTCACGTTTTCAAGTACAAACACGTCGATCGAGTTTGTGAAGTATTTGTATATTAGAAGTTATACTGGTAATTAGTAATGCAGCATATTACTATTAGCGTGACATTTCTTGTATAAATATTAATTATTCGCCAATCTGTCGCAACGGAATTGTAAGCTGATTAAAATTTCATCCACACGTAATGGCGACTGAGAGCATATAGAAATTACCACGCCTGTGAAAATACAAATGCACGAATAATTTATTTAAGCTATACGATTGGGAACTGTTATCGCTCGCGCCGCCTCCTCTTCGCTTCTCTTCGTGCAAAATTGCTTTGCTACGCATTGTTTATCATTGGTATTGTTATCCCTCCACATTTTTAATCACTGGCGGCAAACGTATAATCGAGTACGGATTGAAAAATCGCAAAGCGACCGCTGTTCAAATAGCTCTTTTATCTTGTTTTGTTTCTAGTATTGTTGATACGCATCGCTGCGCATTTTATATTCGCGCTTCGAATCTATTATAATTATGTATACACAGCGCGACGTACGCGCTTTCATTTTCAAATCTCCATCGTCCGTCGCGTGGGGGACGAACCGCTGGTTTGCATTGTCATCGAGCGTACCATCTGCAGGGCTGACATCGCAGCATTCAAAGTACCGCGAATAACATGCGCTGCTATTATCTACCTGCGATACGTAACGCATCGGGATCGTTAGGTGTGTCCGAGTGTCGCGGCGTAGCTTCGTAAATCGCTGCGTGCGCTGTGAGTACTACTGCTGGCGTCGCAATAGACATGAATCGTATGCGTTTGTTACCGCGTTCACACGTTCCGATTACGGCGCGGATATAAGGATATATAAGAATTTATTTATTTTGTATTTTTTTCGGCACAAAAAATCTTTGTTTCTAGGTGTTCGCGTGCAGTGCTCGCTAGAGGCATGTATTGCGAGTGTTGCTTCAAGGGGCGGGGGATATGATTTCGCAGTCCACTTATGCGAATGTTTGTTAGCATAAATATGTAGCCTAGTCTATGCCGTATTCTCCGTTCGAACTCGACAATTCGCCGAAATCTTGAAGTACATCGTTCCCGAATAAGGTGTTAGCTAAAACTTGGCGACCATGCATGGACAGTCCCTCGATCTCCGTTCAGCGCACGCGAGCATGCAGAAAACGTTCGTTGTATTAAAACCGAGCTTTTCACTATTTTTTTTTTCAATCGGCGACGAGCGTCCCGCCCGAGCGTCGATGCCGCATCCTCCGTAACTCCGTGAATAGGTTCAGCGGAGCGGAACATCAACCGTTACTGTGTGATAGATGCCGCTGATGACGGACGCGCCTCTCGCCTGCCGCCGGCGCACGAGCGACGCCGCCCTATCATGCAGGCGGCACGCGACCGAAGCTCCGCCCACATTATCACGCAGTCACGTGGCCGCCTGCGAGCCTGTCGAGACCGGCACGCGCCGCGCGCACAGCGCATGCTTGCCAACGATAAAGTCACACGCGTGTGCTGTGTCAATAACAGTACTTTCCACATTTATGTGAGAGTTATGTACTCGGTTGCGTTATTTGCTCCCAATGCACGGATCAATTGATCACGCATTTCTTGTTTGCGTCGATGGAATAATGACATAAAGATGACTTCGACTCATGCAGACGTATCTATTTAATGTAATCCTCAATAACCGATTAGATTAAAATCACATATAGTAAAAATCTCGTAAAATCAGTAGTTGTACTTAAAGTATAGCCATCGCGACCAATAATATTTTTTAACAAATCATTTTAACAAGTCCATTCATAAATATGTCATTAAAATAATTTACATATACACAGATGATTATAAAGATCACATATACTATCCATGCACTTGGGAAACATACAAAATGTAGTATACAATTTTATATTCGTACAGCTATACTAGGAGAGTTAATTTAACATTTGATTTCGCACATGGAGAAGGGTACTAACCCGCACGCGGGGATGTAAGTCATGCGCGCTGTCTGCCCCTACCCCCACCCGCCGCTACCACCGTCCCTCCGCCGCGGGCGTTTATCCTGGGATGTGGGTAGTTCCGCCAACCAGCCGAGCTGCGCTAATCAGTGAACTCTGAAAGCCGTTAATTTTCTTAATTACGCATAACGAGTTCGCGAGGAGAGGTCGGCGAAAATCTGGCGTCGGCCGCTCCGACGTGATAGTGGTGATCGCCCGAGGGCGCGTCGATCGATTTATATTATATGTATACGTTTGTCACTGTTTTGTGGGGGTGAGCAGCGCTTTGTTTCGCCTAAATTTGCATACGGCGTGCGCGTTATGGTTACGGCTGTACGTTGCACACGGCAGATGAGTTAATCCCGGCGTGTATGCCAGTCTACGTATGTTGGCCGCGGGTGTGCGTGAGGACGCAATGCGTTCGTGTTTGATATTTAGCATCGGTTCGTGTAACGCATCGGCGCAATATGCAATCAGACGGTCTTTGATGTGACGATATCGCGTATACATACGACTTTATTTGCACATGGCTCGCGGAGTGCGGACAGAGCACCGCCTATTGTAACCTGTCGCTTTGTGTCACCGTATGTCCTCGTCGCTAACGCGTACGTAAACTATTACTGGACTTTAGCTATGTCTCTGTCGAGCTATATCCGCACGCTTCGTCTGTTTGCGCGAGATACACACGTAAAGATACAGATGCGCTCGCGTCCATCCATTAACGAGCAATTTACCTACCGGTGTATTTTCGGCTGCTACCGTCGCGTGGCGTATCTGGCACGCGCCCGGCAGGCTGATAATGGACGGGCGGTGAGTAGCACCTGCCGAGGCGGGCCCGGATAACGGGCCTGCTCATCCTTATGCAAACCCGCGCCGTTACACCTGTTCGGGGCCGCAGCGCGTAGCGCCGTGGCCACGCGCGCGCATGGCCACAATGGGATGCACCTGTAACAGATGGCGCTTCGATGGCAGGAGGGGGGGGTGCGTTTGAAACGCGATAACGGGAGTTATTGTCGGCGCGAGCCAACCAGAGATGAGCGACTAGCATAAGCATATCAGCGCGCGGTGGCCGCAATCTATAAAGCGAGGCTGCGGCAATCTGGCTGCAGCATTCTGCGTCGGGATCTGCGTCAGATTTTTTCGCGCGCATTCGACTGATTTGCGAAATCTGTGGACATGCCGCGATCGTTTCTAGTAAAAAGCAAGAAGGCGGCGACGCACCACGAATTCGCCGAGGTGGGAAGTGCGTTCACCGTGGTCACGCCGAAGCATCGCAGAGAAGGTAAGTCGAGAGATGATTTCGCGTTTATTTGCCTGCCCGACCGCTTTCCGCATTCGACAACGACTGCACACAAACAACTACCACTATACTAATACTAATACTACAGCTACTACTAAACGCTAATATTGCCACACGCGTAATCGTGAAACGTCACCACCGTCTTTTGTCGATCTTCGACGACTGTGAACTGTCGGAGATAGTTCTCGGGTCACTGCAATTCATATAGAAAGCAGGTAGACCCTATAGGATATCGTAATCAGTTCTGACAACTATCGCCATACTGTTCGGTAGCGTTTATGTAATGTAACGGGCATGCACGTGCCGTAATAATAGCAGACAATATTTCTGAAACGCGAGCTGTCGTAACTACGTAACTCCGTCCACCGGCGTTAAAATACATGTGATTAATAGTGAAAGTCACGCTGGAAACACGCACACGCGTGCGCGCGCGGATGTTACGGGGAGCGATCGGCCTTTTAAATTCTCTAGCATCATCGGCGACGCTCCGTGCGTGTAACGGGCGCGTGCTTGTATACACCGCGCATGCAGGATGAAACGCTCCATTAACGAATGAAACAGGTGCACGCAGCGACTGACGCCCGACACGGGAGATCAGCGCGTGCGGCGTCTGTAACTGTTAAAGGTCTCGCCACCGGGCCTAACTGTCAACTGTAACGCACGCGCTTGCCCCGGACGACAGGTGAACAGCCGAAATGAACTGTTCCGTAGAGCCGGTGTTAATATTGGGTGTAGCTTCTCATCTGCGTCCGTACGCGGCTGCTTAAAATATGCACTAACTGACGAATATAATGGTAAAGTTTAAATGGTTTAGGTTTAGCTCTATATATATATATATATATATATATATATTATATATTTATTATATTATTATATAATATACTACTGTACTTGTTTTCTAATTTGTATGTTGATCATAGCATGACAACAAAATATATCTATACACACCACACAAGCGCGCTCGAGCGCGGCACACACACACGCGCACACACACACACACACACTACACACACAACACCAGCACACACTACACGAACATCACGTACCAACACACACACACACCACACGACACACAGCACTCACACACAGCACAACCACAACACAGAACACACACCACACACACCACCACACATACACACACACACACACACCACACACACACACACACACATCACACCACACCACAACACGTGTAGTGAACGTGATTGCGGTGTGTGTGTGCCGTGCATGCGTTATTTAATTATAATAGTATTTATTCATTTATTTATAATTTATTCATAAACCATATATCTATAAGAGAGAGAGAGAGAGAGACGAGAAGGAGACGAGAGAGAAGAGAGAGCGACGTGAAGTGACGAGAGCAGAGGAGAGACCGAGAGAGGCAGAGAGAGAGAGAGAGTGTGTTGTGTGATGTCACTTATTTGTGCATATTAGAGAGAGAGAGAGAGGAGACAGACAGAGACGGAGAAGGAGTGCGAGTGAGAAAAAATGCATGCGTGTGAGCTAGAGCGAGCAGAGAGAGAGAGAGAGAGAGAGAGAGAGAGAGAGAGAGAGAGAGAGAGAGAGAGAACGAGAGAAGGAAAGAGACACCTCCCCGCCACACACATACACGCGTACACCTACACGTCTCTCATGAGAACACCACTCCTATCTTTCAGAGGGCGGCCCGATGCCCGTCCGACCTCCGCACTCGCCGTACGCGGCCGCCACGTTCCCGTCGTCGCAGCTGCCGTGCGCCGTGTTCGACGGCATGCTTCCGATGAAGCTGTGTCAGGAGAATCTTGTCGCCGTCGCCGGCAGCTCGGCGCCCATATTTCCGTGGGTGTCCGACCACGGACTGTACCACCAGGCGTACGTCGCTCTGGGAACCAGCCTGCAACAATATCAGACGAGTAAGTACCTATGTTTGATATATATATATATATATATATATATATAATACTATAACACGACGCGCGCAAAAAATAACGTTGGCACTAAAAAGTACACAGCACGGTGAAACCTATAGCGGTCTCCTGCTATACTCGATGTATATTGCTGACACATGCTTGAAGGCGGCGGACGGACCGTGAGGAAAGGCGCGACGGTGTCGAGAGGTTTAGGAAGCTAGCCGCGTATGCAACAGGACTGTTGCCTGCATGCGGCAGTAAAGCTAAATATGTAGTGGTCATATATACCGCAAATACATTCTTCGTCTTATTTCGCGCGTTATGGTTTACTATAAAAAAATATATCGATCCAACTACAGTAATATTGCTATACACATTGGTACATTTCATATCCTTGGTATATCCTTAAATTCTTATAACACATAATATTGAATATGTATTGTATGTGAGAGCAAACCGACGACATTACGCACTGCCGTAACGTGACGGCATTTAAGTGAGCTTAAAATATTAAAATATGTGGTGATGCGTGGACTGTCCGTCACCATATCGTTCAATAAGCACCAAATGCGCAACTTTGTTAACTACCTCGGTTGTATTAATCATTTATAGATTATCATCTACATTCGGCTTGAAACATTAATTCGTGTGAGGACTTGTGTAGTTAAGCGTGTTAAGCGCAGCTCTTTTTTTTATAGAGGGTAGTCGGCTATAAAGGGATAGTCGGTTAGCAATGAAATGTATCTAAATTCCCGTCTGTACCAATGTATATGTGGTCCTTAATGCGCTACCCAGCCGTACAGCACCAGGCGTGCTGCGTTCGTGTGGCTGGTTCCGCGTGCATGGTGTTATTAATAATAAAGCCATAGAAGTGGTTATTGCCACGCTCTAGCTGACGAATGCAGCGGCAAGGCCGCACCAGGTGACAAATAGGAATATACAGATATTGAAAGCGCCGGGACTAATAATTGCACAAGTCTTGTCTGAGATGTATTTTGGGCGCGTTGCGTATATCGCGGGGAAATGAAATCCCGTTCTGCTGGGTGGCAGCTTCGTAGCAACTAATCAGATAATCAGAGACTATAAACATAGCGCGATATTTTTATGTTTGTGCAAATACTCGTTCGACACTTGGCTGCTGCTTCAATATTACGTATAGCGCTCGTGTGTGTAGATATGAACGAGTATGACATAATACAGGAACTGCGATATATATATATATATATATATATATATATATATATATATATATATATATATATTACTCGATGACGAATCATAGTTTACCTATTAGAAGCAGTCGATGTTTTAACGTCTTTTTAAACTGAATTATTTTTACATATTATTTAGCTCATGAGTGCCGACTATAAAAATATCTGTGACATTTGCACTTGCTCATATGCGTGCATGCCCAAGTGCTGATGTCGGGTGTGTGTGCGTGCATGTGTAGGTGCGAGAGCTTGTCTGTTTGTACATATATACATGTGCGCGTCTCTCTCTCTCTCTCCCTCTCTCTGGTTGTGTGTGTGTGTGTGTGTGTGTGTGTGTGTGTGTGTGTGTGTGTGTGTGTGTGTGTGCGCGCGCGCTTGTACGTGCGTGCGTGCGCGCGCGTGCGTGTGTATACATAGTTGCGTGTGCGTATACCGAGCGTGAGCCTTTGTGCGTTATTATCACGTAAGCTCAGAGCGGCTGTCGCTAGGGTAAATGAAAATTATAGCAATAATCAGCAGCTGTCCACTTTCTACGTGTGTGTACAGTGCGCCGTGAAAGAGAATATGGAGAGGACGACAGATACTAAATCTTAGCCGCGCATGATCAATTGTTCGAAACATTAGATTTAATGATTATGTATGTTCAGTCCCCACGCGGTGCGACGAACAGTTTCATGTCGAGTTTAAAAAAGAATGAGTCTGAGATAAAGAAACACATTCTGAGAGATATTAGAGTGGGGAGGAGTAATCGAGAAAAATACAGAAAGAGAGAGAGCGAGAGACAGAGAGAGAGAGAGAGAGAGAGAGAGAGAGAGAGAGAGAGAGAGAGAGGAGTGGTGGAAAGGAGGAAGCAATAGGACCAAAATAGCTCGCCAATGTGCTTTATGCATTGATTGATAGGACGTATTGATAGGAACCCCGCGTGAGAAGAGTAGCAGCTGAAAATGAAATTTGTTTACCTCAACCGTGTCGAGATGACATATCACCTAACTGAGCGGGAATTTGAAACAACATTTAAATATCACCTGAATACAGGCGCGCGTGTGCGTGCGTATTTGTGAGCACCGCGTGACGTAAGCACACGTCAACCTGTCCGAGGACCGAACACTTAAACTACAAATCAGTCTGTATCGTGGCACCAGCATATGCAGATACAATTATTATTATTATTATGACGACAAGTTTACACTCGGCGTGGATTAGTCAGTCAATAACATTCCACGGCGTTTGGTGTCGATGTGCTGGTGGACATTATTGCATGCCAACTATAGGTCGCGTGTCGCCGACCCTATCCCTCTTTCTCTATGATCACGACTCACGCCCGCATTATTGGATCTAGGACCGCCATCCCCCACCACGTAGCCGCCTGTTGTAGCCGAATCAGTGCATATTGTGTCAGCGGAGTGACGATTTGCTGAATTCCGCGTCGATGTAACACCTTTATTGAATTTATTGCGTTCCACATTCCGCGTTCTGCGTAGGAGGCAAACGATCCAGGCGTGAGCTGGTGTGGTTGCTAGACAGCGTGACAGGCATGTAGGTGTGTTGGTGTCCAACTCCTTTACTGCGCCAATGGACAATTTTTCTTTGTTTATTTTATTGACTAACTAAACACTATTTAACGACGTATAAAAACCCCTATAAAAGATGCATTACACATCATTTTAGGTCAAGTGGTTAAAAAGTTCAATTTTGAAGATGGCGTCCAGTGGCCATTTTAGATTTATGCAAATTACTAGAGTTGCCGAAAGGTGTCATTTGGGCAATCAAGCTAAATTTGTTTTAGGGCCCCATATGAGTACAAATCAGCAAAAAAGGTTAATAAAATGTCAACTCGACTAACGGTAAAAACGCCAGGGGTGCGACACATCAATTGGCGCAGAGCGATCTTTCACATCCGGGTACGTCGCAACGGAGGAAAGAAACAGCCGCGGTGCCTTACAGATACAACAGTATACATATTTTCGTTTTACTAAACACTCTCATAAGGCCCGTCTCATTTTAGGTGTCTTATCTTCGCAGTTCGGCCTCATCCTACATGGTCGTAACCTTGTTCAGTTCATTCAACCTCACCTACACCGACCGTGAAGAGGCATGCGACACTACAAAGGGTCGCTGCGCGCGGCTATACATAGCATGTGTGGGCGCATGCCATTTAAACAGGAATTGTTCATTTGTTTGTTTACTGTGCACCTGTCCTAGGTGTCGCGATCACGCACCGCACGCGCGTTGCAGGTGCACGGAGCCTGAATTGATCAGGACTCAGTGCGAGGTGACTTTAGGCAACTCCGCACCTCTTAACTCTCACTCTCTATCCGTATCTACGTATCTGTATATGTGTCTCTCCGGGAATTTGCCCCTTTGCGTGCCACCTGCGAAGAAGCGCTCGGTGAATCATATCACAAAGCGATATCTCTTCCAGATAGGCGGGCGAGAATGCCGCTACGCGATCCGCTCACCTTGACGGCAACACTTTCGCTCTGTCACTGGCAGCGCCTTTGTCACCAAAGAGGGTCATTACCGGACCATTTACCCGCTTGTTCATTTAAAGTCAGTCCCGGTGCGTAATGCGCACATTGTGCGGTTAAGACGAGCCGAGCAAATTGCCCGCTGCCGTCTTTTATAGCCTAATGAGCGGCAACCTGTTACTGGCGCAATAATCACCGCAGCTTATGTTGCCGCCCGCGCGCGACAGTCGCTGCCGCCAAACAATAGCGGCGTGTCCGTCGAGTGACGTTTCAATCTGTTTCTAGCATTATGCACGATTCATCTTTTTGACCTCGCCTAGACGCGCGCCCCGCCGTACCCCGCTCGCTCGCCGCGCGGCCGTATCGTGCGGCGGCGCGCCTATAACAACAGGCGCACGCCTCGGCGACAGACTGAGAAATTGCGTGCGTCCTCTGGGGGTTTCTCGCGGAGTGGTAATCTCGGAGAGGCAACAATGATTAATGCTGCCCATGCTAACAGTCGGTCAGTTGCATGCATATATGCAGAGCAACAGCGCGGTCTTTGTGGAGCTTGCACCATTCCGACAATGTCGACACGCGAGCCGTCTGAATAGGCCTACAGCTCATCGACCATGCGGCGGCAACAGATTTCCAGTCGCACCTAATGCATTACAAATTGCGGGAACACAGAGGCGCGCTCGCCTACGCGCCTCGTCACCTTGGTGTCGTCCGGGGACAGCCTAACGACAAGTGTTTTCAGTGAGAGTGAGTGAGAGGCGACGGCTGCTTTTATAGCAGCGCGCACACAATGGCGTCCACGTCGACAAATCCCATCGCTAAGTTATCGAGTTAATTATGAAAACAGTTCTCGAACAAATCAGATCGAAAGTCAGCGGCAGTAAAACTTGCATTCATATGCGACGAAAATCGTTATTCACCGCATCTTTTTTTCGATCGCATCTATTTATAGCTTTTGGCTATATATAACATAATATCAAGATAATATTATATAGGCCTATATATATTTGTTATATAGCTGCGAAATATATACCGCATTATAACATTGTAACATATATACGTACACTCCCACATACGCACGCACACACGGACACACACATGTAGTGCACGCTCGCTGTTATACATACGAAAATTATATACGCACGAGTATTATATATAATACGTAATTACGGTATTATAAACAATATACTTTAACCTTAAAACTGTAACTTAATTATTTTAGATAACCAAGTCACCTGTGTGTTTCTACACTGTCAAACACACGCGGCATTATGTGATCCACGAAATTTGAAATCTTTGTAATTTAACGATAGACCTTATAAAGCGTGTCAGTAGATAGCGCGTGAGTATAGTAGTAGTAGTCTAACAGTGCATGGGCAGTGCGCCATTATAGCGCGTGACAATAACCGCTCCTTAACAAACCCACTCATTCGGTTGAACTCCTTATTACAGGCGACCACATGAACGAACTGCTGAAGCAATCGCAAGGACGTATGAGCTATACCGACATCTACCGAAGCTACTATCAAGCAACCGACTTCAAACACATTCTAAAAACGCTCAGCATCGAACAGCCCCATCTGTATGGCGGTGGCATCCCCGCTGGTTACGCCACCTACCTGGACGCCTACTTCAAACCGGACAAGATGCCGGCGGAGAACACGAAGGAGAATGACGCGACGAAGGACAACGGCAGCGTCAGCGTCAGCGTCAGCGGCGGCCCCGAAACCTACTCTTGCGTCAAATGCAAGAAGATGTTCAGCACGCCGCACGGACTCGAGGTGCATGTGCGGCGGTCACACAGTGGCAAACGCCCGTTCGCCTGCGATGTATGTACGAAGAGACGATGACGATTTTACGAGCTTAAGGGCGCAGACGCCTACACACAACGCGTGCATCCATGTAGAGATAAACTTGTCGCATAAATTATTCATCTACGAATATAGCGGGGCAGAATGTTTACCGTTTCGATGCTTAAACGAACCACACGGTTGATCATTAACGCTACACGCGGAATTGATTTAATTCAACTGCGTATATAAAGCAATTGCCTAATATTCTATTATTTAATGGCGCTGTGACGCTTGAAAGATTGAGCTGCTACGTTACACAAACAACTTGAACACTAATTTTATAGCGCGGTAAGCACACTGTCTAGATACATAAATGAAACCATTTATTTATTTATTCATTCATTTATTCGTTCGTTAATTCATTTAGTTATTCATTCACTCATTCATTCATTCATGCATTCACTCACTCGCTCATTCATTCATTCATTTATTCATTTTCTTATTGCATTCGTTAACGCGTTTGCTCGTTTAATCACCCATCTATCAACTCGATCATTCATAGTACAGTGTGTAGATTTTATTTACTCATGCTCTTCATTAAGAACTGCTCGATTCTTCGAGGTTTTCCTAACGCATGTCGTTTTATTCGTGCAGGTGTGCAATAAGACATTCGGCCACGCAGTGTCGCTCAGTCAACACAGGATCGTTCACTCCCAGGAGAAGACGTTCTCGTGCAAGCAATGTGGCAAGTCGTTCAAGCGCTCGTCGACGCTCTCCACACACCTACTCATCCACTCGGACACGCGGCCGTACCCGTGCGAGTACTGCGGCAAGCGATTCCACCAGAAGTCCGACATGAAGAAGCATACGTACATTCACACCGGTAAGTTCGCAAACATGCAAACTGCTGCTCGTGTGCCGAAGGCGCGAATCCAGCGCGGTGTAGATAGGTAGTGGACTGTTGGTAGATACGCATGTGTGCATGAGCGTGGTTGTTACGCGCGGTGGTCAATAGTAGGCCTATATTACCATCGCGATATCCATTCGATTCAGCTTAATTTGCGTGTACTCGGCATCGCTTGTTAAATCGCGTCAGGTATGCGTGGCGAAAACATTCAACATAACCCCCCCCCCCCGACCCCAAATCGTCTGCTGCGCCGCGAGCGGTCACCATGGTGACGCGGTGCTCATCGCGCGGCCCCGCCCGTGCGGAGGCTGGTCGCGCGACGAGCGCCGCGAAGCACGGTGATGATTGTGTTGACATGGCGGCGAGCGATTGATGTCGCATCTGACTGCCGTTCGACTTCAAACGCGCGCCAGCTCTACCTGCATGGCAACCGCCGCTGCTATAGCAAGCAGAGCCGCCGTTGGACTGAGCATCGGCGGCTGACACACCGCCGAGTGCAGATTTGCACCTCCGATGAACTGCGCAAACATGGCCGACAATTCATATGACGCTCTCTCTCTCTCTTTCTCGACGCGGCGGCGCACATGAATTGGCGGCGGCGGGCGATGCGCACAAAAGCGGCGGTCGCGTGAACGCGCTGTACAAACACAGACGCCTGGTCAGTTTCTCACAGACGATAAATTCGCGACCGGCGTTTTTCCTATTCTATTAGCGCTGAAACCAAATCGCGCAATCTGAAAATCGAAATATTTTGCCACCGCGTAACGACAGCAGTAAACTGCGCGACTGCGTTCTTGTTCTGTTCTCCTCCCTCTCCTCTTACCTCCTTTCTCCTACCCCCTCTCCACTCTCCCCTCTACCTCTCTCCGCTCCCTCTCCTTCTTCCTCTCCCCTTCTCCCTCTCTTCTCTGCGCCATCCATGTCTGCCTTTCTTTTGTCGTTTCTCTCCCTCGTGTAAACACACACACACACACACACACACACACACACACACACACACACACACACACACACACACACACACACACACACACACACACACACGCACGCACGCACGCACGCACGCACGCACGCACGCGCGCACGCACGCACGCTCACTCACTCACTCACTCACTCGCTCGTTTTTTTCGCATTCTAATATTATATTTTTTCCACGTTACTCCCTTCCCACTCTCTTTCCCTACACGTACAATACGAACCCGACGAGCTGCTGCGCGCGTATATGGGCAGACGCGCTTCCGCGCACATAGCAACCGGTCTGCAGCCGTCTGCGAGCACGTGTAGGCGAGCGCGCGCGCGCGCATGCGAGCTTCCCCAGAATATCAGTGCACCAGAGGGTGCAATACAGCTCGAACAAGAGGAGAAAAACACGCGCGCGCATGCGATTCCCCCGGGTCGGCGCTACACAATGCGAAACATTTCAGGATATTAGTACGGCGACCGGCGAAGGCAATAAGGCTCGCATGCCGAGCGCCGCGATCGTGATTGATACGTATACATTTATTTAGTATCAAATCAGGGCGGCCTGTTGCTTGGGCCAACACCGGTCTGTACGTGCCCACTTTACCGCGCCCTGGCGAGTCCATATTTAGAGTCAAAACAGTTGACACGCGCCACACAATGGAAGTCGTGCGGGCAACCATTGGCCAATGCCACGGAAAGCAGATGGTTAAGGGCGCAATTCCCTCAACCATTACGCTGGTACGTACATACGTGACACGAAGTCAACAGACGATTAACCAGACAGCAGACGTGCACGCAAGAGAGAAAGAGACAGAGACAGCCACACGCACACGCACACGCACACGCAGAAAGATAGATAGAGAGAGACAGAGAGAGAGAGAGAGAGAGAGAGAGATGTCGAGAGAGAAAGCGAGAGAAGGGCGACATGGGCCGTGGTAGTATAATAGGAGGAAGGAGTGAGGTCACGCGCAACCATAATATGGTGAAACGATGAAACGGAGGAGTAACAACACACTGACGTCAAAGCGACAAAACGCCGAAGGGTGCATATAATATTAGTGTTAGTAATACTAAAAACATATATATATATATATATATATCATAGTATAAATAATTATCGATCAAAAGCATAATCATCATTATTATAGTATATTATAAACAGCATTAGTATAAATTAAATTAATAATAAATATGGTATCACGATTAACTTGTAACGATAAATCTAGGCAATAGTCATATTTCTATAACAAGGACTACTGGTGGTTTACTATTTTATCGGATATTATTGCTGATACCCCTTGTTTAGATTATCCGGATTCAAGTCACTGCTAGAAACACGCACGCGAACACGCACGCGAACACGCACGCGCACACAGACGCACGCACACAAGCACACATATGACGTGATCTATCTGTACTAATGGTGTGCTAGGGTGGTATGGTGAATCACGCCTAATGTGCGTGAATGTGTCATTGCCGCTCCAGGCTTTTGACACGCGTCTCACTAGAACACGTGCGTACCGATGAAAACCAGCATCGCGTGACAAGACCAAATCTGCAGAAATCATTGTCATTGTCCACATAGTGAAGCATACAGGCGGCCTGTGACAAGTTAAAGTTGCTAGTACGGGCGCGTTGGCCGCAACGCAAAATAACGCGTCAACAATCACAAATCACAAGCTCTATTGCGAGCAGTAGCCGTATATATACGTATACGCAGGAGGGTTTGTCGCGAAACGGCGCTCAATATGGCGATATAATGTGACATTTGGCCACCGCGTCACAGTCTGGTAAACTGCCAATTCCGCGGGGAGTTCTCATAATATATGACTCACGCATAGATTCGAATAACAGGCATCCTCTTTACGCTGATTTATCCATATCACGTTTAGTGTTATATTCGCGGCACGTAGGAGAAAGGGCTATTTATAAATCGCACCAGTTTTCAGCAGCATAGATGCAGCGTTGGGATAGCAGTCATCAGTCAGCATCAGTATCAATCCATGAGTAGAAACAAAACATGATATTAACAACGCGGAGCACGAATTAGCCATATAAACGCGCTAAATCGACATAGAAGTTAAAATTGGCAAACTGTAGCCAATTTTCGAGTATAAGTTCTCTTTACGTTCACTTGAGAATGTGTTATTAAAAATCCTCTCATTCCTTACTGTGATGAGTGAAATAGATATTTGAAGCAGCACAGTAACGCTCTATTCAAGTGTAAATGGGAAAATGTGGGCATCTATTTTCTTTCATGTAATTGTAAATGTAGACGGTAGCAGGCAGCCAGGATATGTCCATGGTTGTCGATGTAGACATCCATCTCTGCCATAGAATATATATAGAGACTAACTAGTATATTATTTCTATGATCTCTGCTACCACGTCCACAATATAAGGCAGGGATGAGCGCTTTAGTGTTTGTCTCCATTGTCACGGACTGTGGTCTTTGTGCGCTACTGTATGTTAGTTCTATCATTCAATCTCGGCTAGAACTCGTTATATTTCCCCGGGAGAGTTTTTAAGTACCTTGTCTGACCTTTCACAAACTACATTGCGATGATGTGATTTCTCCAGTGTTACTGCAGCGCGTGACATAATGAACAAACGAATAGTTCGTCCAAGGGAACAGGCGAGAGAGAGAGAGAGAGAGAGAGAGAGAGAGAGAGGGGGAAGGAAAGAAGGA